TTTCCATGTCAGCCATTTTGGGCGTCGGACATTTTGAATTTTGTCAAAAAATTCAATATTTTAAGAACGCTTAGACTTTATTATGAAAATCGGTACGCATCTTCAGCACCATGCCCTGATGGCACTCAAAAAGTTTGGGCGCAGCGCCACCTTGTGGTCAAAAGTTATAAAGCAATTGATAAAAATGCTAATAACTTTTGCATACATTATAATATTGATCACTTCGTGATCACCCCCTGCTGCAGCACTTGGTTTAGGAAGCTTGTCATTTGGAACAAGAACTCGTATGGTGTTGAAATGAGTTTGTAGGGATGGTCTCATTAGATCTGCAGGAAGCAGAAAGTTGAGATGATCTGTGTATTTTGCTGGTATTACGAAGAGTTTGAGATTAATGTGAAAACGGGGGAATCCAACCTCACCCAAATCTATTTGAAGGCGAGTTTTCCTGTTCATTGGCTTGATTAATGTTTATTTGTGTGGATCAGCGCTGTTGTGGATAGATGTGCCTGATGTTGGTTTCAATCCTATCTCTCTCCAGGAAGGCTTGGACTTTATCTCTCAGCAAGCGGTGGCCCAGCGGCCCTTCTTTCTCTACTGGGCGCCAGATGCATCCCACGCGCCTGTCTATGCCTCAAAACGCTTTCTGGGAAAGAGCCAGAGGGGGCGGTATGTGAACATTGCTAAGTATATCATCCATCGTAACTCATCCAGGATGTTTGTGTTAATCACATGAATGAAAGCTCAAATAATGCTTGTTTTTGGAAACGCTGTGCTATTACTTTACTAAGACATCTATCTACTAAGCCACCCACCTAACAACATCAGCAACTTTATAGAAATACAGTATGCCAGTAATCCACTCAGAACAACCACCTAGAGCGATATACACTGTATTAAAAAATCCTTTCACTGGTTGCCAGAACTAAAATAATGCAATAAACATTAATTTAAAAGCATAACATGTAACATAAAATCCTAATGTACATAGCTGATAACACAAAACTAAGAAGAAATATAATTATTTAAATGAAAAACCATCAAATGTTCATCGTCACACATGGAAATCAGAGAATGTCAGTTTATAGATGATTTGTTCTTTTTCACTTTCAAAAAACTGAACATTTAATAGTATTTTACTTTCAAATGACATGAAATGCCCAATTAGATTTATTACTATTTTTGCCATATATAGTAAGGGAAATTACTGTTAATGAAATAACAGTTTTTTAACATAACATTTTTACATTATTACTTTTTTTTTTACATTAAAACAACTATCATATTTTTAAACATCTGCCACTTACCTACATCTAGTAATTGCCATGTTCAGTCAGTGCCTATGTTGGTATTGGCCAATATTATTATTAATATATAATAATATTATTTATTTTAAAGTGCCCCTATTATGCCATTTCCAATATTGCCTTTCATGCAGTGTGTAATGTAGCTGTATGGGAATGTAAACGTTCTGCAAAGTTGTAAAGCTGAAAGTGCACGATAAAGTTATTGTCTCCCAAAATAAAGAATCGACTCTGAACAGCTGAAACGAGTCGTTAGTATTCGAATCCCACTTCTGTGACGGCTACACGTCACGGGGGAACACATTTGCATAATTCGCGCCTATGTTCTACGTTGGCCGGCCGCGAACAACTTGACCCCGCCAACAAATACACGTCATTCTACTGACGACTGCTTCTCTAATCTCGGGGAGTTCAATGCGGGATTCACAAAACGCTTGCTGTTGAAAGATGGATCAGTATCCTGTTTATTTGGACCAGCTGCTCCACTGAATCACAACCTGTATTTATGATAAATAATATATGTTTATATTTTCTATAGAGCGTTCAAAATACAGAACTATTGATATAGGCGTATCATTTCCGACACGTGCTGTACGCCGTAGACCAATCACAACAGACTAGGCCATCTGACCAATCAGAGCAGAGTAGGCTCACGGAAAGGAGGGGTTTAGAGAGACTGAATCTTTGAACTGCTTCGAACGAATCGCTTGAGAATCGCTGGAAAATGAGCTGATATTAAATGCATATTTTGAGAAAACGAAAGTGTTTTTTGACCTTGCATGCATGTAATCCTATTGTAGGAGACTCCCTAAACAATATTAGGAACCATAAAAATGGCATAATAGGGGCACTTTAAATATTGGAGTCTTTCTGATTAGGCCTACATAGGCCTGCATATTGGGAGCAGATAACATATTGCCATGTTTTTCTAATTCAAAGAGGTTTATTCTTTCTACACCAGATTTCAAAACTACTGAATAACATTATCCATATTTTCTACGTAATCAGTATCATATAATTGCTGTTGCTCCAAATACTGGAAATATTAAACATCACACCACTAATGCACAGACTGACAAGCTTTTCGGAACACAGAATCATTTTCAAGCGGAGTGATTCAAACAGTTCTGAATTTCAGCATTTTTGGAACACTGCTTAGCCAATCAAATTTGAGGACTGGAATTAACTGTTGTATAATGTACATGAAAATGTTTTATTGTGTAATTTCACGTGTAAAAACTCTAGATGCTAGAATGCTTCTTTATTATTTTTATTTTTTTTTGCAGAAGGGATGTCATATTATCAGTCCATAAATTTAGAAAATACTGTCAACAGAAAAATTCACCATGTTTGAAATGACCTTTAAAGATATGTCTTGTAATTGAAATCTACAGATGCAAATAGATCAAATGCAATGAAATAAACACTTAGAAGTGTATTTTGCATGTTTTCTTTCCACTAGTCTGAAAACACATTATGAAAAGTCAAATAGTGTAAAATTAAAAAAAAAACAATGTATGAATTAACAGTGTTTTTGCCTATAATGTCTTGACAAAAAAAAAAACTTACTGTTACTTAACGGCCATAACACTTATTGTTTTGACCAAACGTTCAGCATTGTGTGTTCCAGTTTTGTATTACATATAAATGATTGGTTAATGAGATGTTTTCTTTTTTCTGCTATGAGGCAAAAATAAAGCTAGAGGCTTCATTGGTAGTCTTGTCTGCAACTGTTTAGTATTCCTCCCAGTGCTTTGGAATACTGGGGCTTCAGTAAGCATACGTTTCTTCAGAATGCTAAATGAGGTTTGTGTTGACAGAGGAATGGATCAAGGCTGAGGGGTATTAGCCAGGTGCTGGCAGTGGAGAGATTCAGCCTGACATGCTGCATCTTAAAGTTTTATAACCAGTGCACATCTATCTGAGGCATCTATCTTCCTCCATATATCACATCCATCTGTCACAGGACAGGTTTCAAACTTGGGATAATTTGACAGAATTTGTTATACTGTCTGGGTTAGAGCAACTGAACAGGTTATCTGGGGTAATTTTTAGTGCTTTGATTGCCGTGATTAAGGTGGTGTAATGACTTGGATTACTTAATTGTATAAGGGAATTAATTATTATTAATTCATTCAGGTTTTGAGAGGACTCGGATCTGAATATCCCAAGTCCACCTGATTAAACCGATTTCAAATTTGTTGTGTTACACTTTAAATCAAGGGTCGTCCAGCGAGCCGTGATTTCAGTATATTTTAACAAACTGACTATGTATCTGTATTTTCCCTGGCCACGGGTTAAATACAATTATGATCATTTGTAAGCTCTTAGTGACTCCATAGTGTGAGTGGGTCCGGTGAAGACAGAGATACTACAGTGGTAAGACACTGTGTGATTTGTCTTGTAGTTATGGTGATGCAATGATGGAACTGGATGACGGCATCGGTCAGATTCGGGCTCACCTGGTCAGTCTGGGAACCCACAACAACACATTGGTGTTTTTCACAAACACATATAATGGGGCAGCAGTGATGTCTGGACCGCTTCAAAGTGGGAATCCATTCACACTTTTCCACCTTAAACATTAAAACACCATAGGGGGCGTTTATGACACTTTTTTTTTTTTTTAATTAAGTAGGAGAATTGCAAGAAATCATTTGTATTTTTTTATTCAAATAATTTCTTGCAATTCCTCTGCTGATGGCGTAGGTGTTTTTTTTTTTTTTTGGAGGATTTTTTTCTGAAGAGACTGAAATAAAAATGTTTTATTCCGTTTTTTTAATATAATTAATTTGAGCTTAATTTGAAAGTTTCTTTCCATCTGTTTGTTAACACAGATCTTCATATATATTTTTATCCCTCTGACTGTGGCATAAATTGCAAGTTTGTACCGGTTACATAAAACAGTTAGATATGTAACAATATATTAAAAATATATTAATGTTGTTATTATTGTTTATATCTTATTATTTAGCTTTTAGGGATGAAGGGTTGCTCTGAGCTACACTGAGCTACTGTCACGCTACCGATAAATTCAATTAAGTTAAAGCTATGCTGTGCAACTTTTTCGATTAAAAAATTACAAGATGTTATTAATAATGAGGGAGTGCCAAAAAATCCTCCAAACCATGTCTTTACTCAAATACACTTTGATAAACCTATAATAGTTATTAAAATTTTGTAGCTTTCCAGACAGATTTTGCATGAAAATGCATACGTTCACCTGTGTGTGTCATGTCACGACTACGTCCTCTCTCATAAAGATGTATTCATATATACACCGGTGCCTCAAACCAAATTTATCAATGTAGAGGAGCAGAACCAAAGCACAACCATGTTATTTTTTTTACCGCTAGACACCCGAAAGTTACACAGTGTAGCTTTAAATGTGTGATTAGTTTTAGTTCGTTACTCCCCAGTACTGTTTTTAATTTATTCCTAATAAATATTTAGAGGAAACTCAGGCTTGTTTGTCTTCTGTGGCATTTAGTGAGTCACCACTAAACGCAAGCCTGAATCAAACTCGCATCTCATTCAGTGCTGCTATTCAATATGTCTGAAGAATATGCACTAACTGCTAGGCCTCGGCTCAGATGTTTGTGCTAGTTTTATTTTCATTGTTGGTCAATGGACACATGCACCAGTCAGACATATTTTATCATTGCATTGTATCATTTTAAGAGAAGTTGTGTCAAGTTTTAAACTGTTAAGTTTGGAATACTGTGACAAGTTTTAAATAAAAAAAAAAAAGGTATCTCAAGATCCTCGCATTCTATTCTGTCTTCTGCTCTCTCAATGTATCTTTCATTTACACTCCCAATACACCTATTTAGTTTTTTTGTGTCAAGAGTCTCTTTTGTAAAGATTATTTGTTAGATATGAATTGCCATCACTGTATTTCACAGACGAGGCTTTGAGTTTGAGATTCCCTCCTGTCCCTTTTCATCCTCAGGCGGCAGCAATGGACCATTCCTCTGTGAGAAGGAGACTACGTTTGAAGGCGGCATGAGGGAACCAGCCATTGCCTGGTGGCCTGGACGGATCCCTGCTGGCACAGTAAGAATGATCCCAAGCTGTTTCATTTAAATGTAGAAGTCCCAGTTGTGCTTTCCAGTTCACTGTATTTAATCTTTCCACACCCTCAAAACACACCTCATACATTTCTATCTGTTCTAACACTCCATCAGTGCATTCTATAGTGTGAAAGGCCCTTAAACATCAAATATGTTCAGACTGGCTGTGATTGTGTTACGTCACACAGCACTTCTGTTCAATCAAATTTTTTGATTGGTGGTTAATGCAACTCAAAAAACATTCACTTTGCATCTTTGGGGACAACAAATGTAACTTTAATTAAGGGCTAATGTACATCCAGCTGGTCGTTATTGTGCAATAACTCAAAGCTTCCATGAAGAGTGCCGCAGTTCATGACAAGTGGTTTTGAGCCAAGACAATGAACAATTTCAAACCAGACAAATACTGACATACCACTTTCATACACCAGTTATAACAAAAACAATCATTTTTGCAGCAAGACAAACACTACAACATTATAGTTCTACTGAAGTCTGAAAATGATTTAATTTTCAATGCAGTCCATAAGTGCAAGATGCAAGATGGTACCAGTTGAGTTTATGAAACAAGAGAGAGTAAATCAGAAATGTGATGCGAGAGACATGAAAGAAGCGCTGGCCTCAGATACCCAGATGAGTGGTCTGTTAATCAGCATTACTATTGGCAAAGGTCATTATGAGGAATAACAGTCATCGGAATGTCTTGACTGACCAATCAGAATCAATCATTTCAGAGAACTGTATAATACATTTAGCAAGGTTGATCAGATCTTTGCTACCAATTTTTTGGTACCCATATTTTTTAAACTGGAACTGGGCCTCATAAAAATTACACCAAATAACCAAATAACAGTTATGATGCAGCTCCATTTTACAGTTTTTCTCGATTGCTTAAACACATTTCTTGAAACTATGCCTCATATTCTCAAAACAGTAAACACAAATTCTCTGTTTTCCTCCCTCTTTTTTTTTGTGGCAGAGGAAGCCTCCTTTTCCAGATCCGCTGAAGCTGTGTGCTCTGCAAATTACTTTTAATTGTATTAGGGGCAGCTGTGACATGGGGCTGTGGCGTGGGGGGATTTTTAGAGGAGGGAGTGCGGGAGCCACGCTAAGCCTGCCCCCGGCTCATATCTGAGGGGTGTGTGGGGCCCTGATAGCACGGCAGAGTGACGAGGAAGAGGGGGATTGGGAAGGTCTTAAGCGGCTAATCTGTTTGTGTGTTTGCTAAGGTTGGATTGAGCTGTAATGAGGGCTTCTGTATCTGAATATGCCAGGCGTGCCGGATAAAGAACAGAAAGGGAGAGAAGAGCAGAGAGGAGTGCTGGGGTATGTGGCTGTGATGGAGGCGTGTGGTGTGCCATGTGTCTGGGCAGTGCCAGAGCATTGCAGAGTGGGATAAGCAGGTGTTTCACACTGTTAATGTTTGTCTTGCAGCAGCAGGCTGGCTCTTTGTGATATGTGTATCTTCTTAGCCATTTCTCTCTTGGGAAGTATTGATGCCCCTTTTTGTTTTACCAAATTATGTGGGGTTATATTTATTCCAGATTTACAAATAAATCGAATTGAAAATGTATTCACAAACAAATCAAATGAAATGTACAAATTAATCTGAGATTCTCTGAAATTAAATTAATTCACAAAAAAAAGTTTTGCAACCATACAATGAGATTGTGTTTTTTGTATTTTAGAGGTTCCCTTTCATGGGAACTTCGAACTGCGTCCTCTAGGGGTCGCTATGGGGAACGCCTCGTCGTGACCCGTGTCTGACCTTGCCTCTCCCGTTTGGCCCAGTACTTCCGGTATCTGTAACAGATGCTTGGAAAACTCTAAATAAGTGCAGCACGTTAAGCTTTGCGCAAGGTCTCAGGTTACTTATGTAACCATGGTTTCCTGAGTAGGGAACGAGACACTGCGTCTTCTAGGTTTCTTGCCATGCTGCGGACGCAAGCTTCAGATGAAGAAGTGAATGACATGTTCTCCCTGCGCCTATTTATACTATAGTCGCACCGGTAGTGACGTCATGGCTGTCGCCGGCCAACGAGTTGGTGTTTTTTCAATGTATGCTTCAGACACGGGTCACGACGAGGCGTTCCCCATAGCGACCCCTAGAGGACGCAGTGTCTCGTTCCCTACTCAGGGAACCATGGTTACATAAGTAACCTGAGACGATTTCTTTGCAGTTTTGCTGTGAGGATAAATAAATGTGCACAATTCTACAAACGCATAGAAAGAATTCAAGAAATAAATGTTAGCAAGAAACTGAATATTGAAATAATAATACAAAAAACCCGATGAAATAAAAACCCAGATTAAATTTACAAAAAAAGGAACAAAAGAAAACCTCAGATCAAGTAAATTGACTAATACAATTAGGTACTACAAGCAAGCACCTCAGAGAATAACATAAAAAATGCAGGGTAAACCTATCAAGTAAGAACTTCTGTTATGTTAGTAAGGATGGGACTGTGTGAACTGTATTAGACTCAACAGCAAATCCGTAACCCTAAAGAGGATCCATTGCATTCAGAAACAGCTAAATGAAACACAACAGATTTACACTTAGGGGTCTCGAGATGGGTTTTTTAATTATTTCGTGGCGTCACAGCTAATGTGGACAAACCCAGTCACTCCTGTTGTGTTTATCAGTTCAGAGACACATAGACTGAGTGCATTAGGCAGGTTTTGCAGGTCTGTCTGCTCAGATAACTAGTGTCAGCCAAAAACACAGAGACGCAGACAGCTAGAAGAAGAGGAGGAGGAGGAAATGAATTGGAGATAAAGAAATATCCATTTCCCTTTTTACTAGTCCCATGTTTTTTGTGTGTGTTGCTGGATAAGAGCAGCTGGAGGTAGCAACTAGTTACCTTTATTAATTGTTTAACTTTTATTTCTCCTTTTCCTGTGTGTATAAGTATGTATGTAGGGTACGTCTGTGTGTGTGAAGCCTGAGAGTGAAGATAATGGAATGTACTGCCTGTCTGGCAGTGGTGAAGGGAATTCTGGGAGGCTGAAGCAGGCAACGTGTGTGTGTGTGTATGTGTGCGCGGCAGAGCCAGCTGCTCCGTGTTGATAGCGCTATCTGATTGTGAGCATGCCGTCTCCCTCAAAAGCCCGCTCAGGAGAGAATAGAATGGAAGATCAAGGATGACAGCGAAAAAATGGCATTTTATCGGAAAATAGTTCAAAGTTTATAAATAAAATAAAGCTTTTTTTTGCAGCAGGACTGGGGAGGACAGATAAAGCAGCAGTTCCGGCCTCTGTCCCAACTCTCCTTTCTCTCTGCCTTTTTCTTCATTTACAGAGATGTTAGTGTGGTTTATAATAAACCTGCGAGCACAGATTAGAGTGGGAACTGAAGAAACGTGTCATCGTGGTTCTGCTCTTCTAAACTGGCCTCCTTGCCGGTGCTTACGTTCTGTGCCATCTTGACAAGGTTCATGCATGAAGAAGATGCATTTGCATGCGTGTGTGTTTGTGTATATGTGCGGGTTGCAGCATGGGTTGATGTATCGCAGCTTAAACAATCTTGAGCATCTAGACTAGTGATAGCCACATGTCAGCTGATATTATGATTGTCATTTATGATAGATAATTATGCTTGCTTATCCAATTAACTATATAAAGCCTACTGTATCATATTTGATACGTACATTTCTGAGGCCTCTAAATTGGATCATGATAAACATGATCAAAACTTTGCTGAAAAACATGTTGTATACAATCTAAAAGCCAAAAAACACACATGCAATTTATTTTTTATTTTTTTTACAGATTTTGTCTAAAGCTCCAGTGAACTCTTTCATTTCAAAAGACAGTTATTTCATGAGTCAAAGCATACTTCACTTGTTTCAGCCAGCTTTTTATTGTTGCAATGCCGGTAGTATTTATAAAAGAATGTGTCTTTCTTCAAGTTAGCTGCACCCAAATCTCTCGGTTTATTAAAAAAATTCTGAAATTTAAAATTCAAATTAATTCAAGCCAAAATAAAACCTTAAAATGGTTAAGGCACATGTATTATATAGTACGAAAGATTTACCAGCTTGAACAAATCATTGGTTATCGTTCAATTTATTATTCCATTCAAAACTATGTGTTTCTGTGCATGATACCAGTGTTTTGTTCATCAGGTGAGTTATCAATTGGGCAGTGTGATGGATCTCTTCAGCACAAGTCTTTCTGTGGCTGGCATTCATCCTCCTGATGACCGTGTCATTGATGGTCTCGATTTAAGTCCTGTCCTCTTCAACAACTCACTGCTAGACCGGTAACCACCTCAAAGCAAGTGTGACTTTCATTCACATTTGATTAGTTTGTTCTGCTTTTTGATCAGATCTATTTACACTACATATAAACATTTTGGGTGCTCAGTCGAGACCCATTCCTAAAATATCTCTTGTCAGAATGTTCTCTGTTGTGTCAGCGGTTAGATGCCCTTACTCTAGAAATGTGATGTGGCTATTACTGTCTCAGTCCAGCTCCAAAGGTTATTTGAGTGATTGTATCACAGTGCGTCTTTAAGATGCATTGGATGCTGTTTCTTTATTTATCATTGTCTGCTTGGGACTGATGTTAACAGCAGGTATAAACAAGGGCAGAGACACTGCACAAATACAGTCTGCAACTCTTACTTTGCTGCTAGCATACAGTTTCTGTAGGTGTTCCTCTGGATAAAAGAGTGATTCTGAGGGAAGTTAAGGTCTCCTGATAAAGCCACTACCTGGAGGCTTTGAGAAAGAGACCATCCTTTTGCAAAAGGTGTTTTACTGAACACATATTGTCAAAATGGGATGAGACACGGTGGGCAGTATTGGCAAACGGAATGTCTTATCACAAGATTCCCATTTCATGCCCAACAGACCCATCTTCTATTATCGTGGCAAACAGATGATGGCAGTGCGGATAGGGCAGTACAAGGCACACTATTGGACTTGGAGCAACTCATGGGAGGAATTCAACAAAGTCAGTGATTGCAAATTCTTCTGTTTCAGATTCTGTCAAATTTATTTGTATAGTGCTTTTTACAATGCACATCGGTCAAAGCAGCTTTACAGAAAGTCATACTGGTACGTCTATAATGCCTTTAAGTCATACTTTGTCATACCTTTAGTCAAACCTCTGTTGAAAAAGCCTAATCTGGATACAACTGTTTTATCGCATTTTAGGCCAATCTCAAATTTACCTTTTATTGCTAAAATTTTAGAGAGAGTTGTGTTTTTTTTGGAAACAAATAATACTCTTGAAAAATTCCAGTCTGGATTTAGGAAAACTCATAGTACTGAGTCTGCTCTATTAAAGAGTATTAAATGACATTTTGCTACTTGTTGACTCTGGGAACTTAGTAATTTTAGTGCTTTTAGATTTGAGTGCAGCATTCGATACAGTTGATCATGGCATTCTTTTATCGTGCCTTGAAAAGTGTGTGGGCATCCAAGGAACTGCCCTGAGCTGGTTCAGATCTTATCTTAGTAACAGAACTTTTTCAGTAGGTATTGGTCGCGCTATTTCATCTGTAGCTCCTCTTACCTCTGGTGTTCCGCAAGGCTCTGTTTTGGCTCCCATCTTGTTTTCACTGTACATTCTTCCACTAGGTTCAATTTTTAGGAAACATGTAGTGTCCTTTCATTTTTATGCTGATGACACCCAAATCTATTTACCTTTAAAACACAATGACAAGAATGGTTTAGAAACATTGCTTGTATGCTTAGCTGATGTAAGATCTTGGATGTCTAAAAAATTTTGCATTTAAATGAGGGAAAGACTGAAGCAATTGTCTATGGACCCTCTGTGGGTAAAGGAAACCCAAATTTTAACTGTGGTCATTTAAACTCTTATATCAAACCAACGGTGAAAAAATTGGGAGTTGTTTTTGATTCCTCCCTTAAGTTTGACCAACATATTAACTCTGTAGTTAAGTCATGTTTTTTCCATCTTAAACTTCTGTCAAAAGTTAGATCTTTTCTATCTTTTAAAGATCTTGAAAGAGTCATACATGCTTTTGTTTTATCACGTTTGGACTATAGGTTGTTTTTATTATGTCTATGGTGTAAACAGCGTCTCCGCCTACTGGAAACTTTTTCAGGCTTCTGATTGGCCAACATGGCTTTACGGTTGAGATTATATCGCCACCTGTTGGTTTGGCATGCTCTTGATAGTGCTTCATAGCATGCGTTTGCGTTTTCATGTGGACGGAGATTTTTTTTAAAACGGAAGGAAAAACTCAGTTTATTGGTTTATTTATAAAATTAACCGTGTACTTGTGGACATGGCCTTAGTTGCTTAGCCTATATCCACCGCCTCAATGGCAGGCAAGTATTTAGTTTAAAAATCGCTCCTCTTCATAACATACGTCCAACATATGTAAATACCTTTTTCTTGTAATAGCGTGGTGGTTGAAGAGATCCCCTCATATGATTGTAAAGCGCGTTGGGTGTACAGCAATGAAAGCGCTATATTAAAAAATGCCTCAAAAATGCCTCATGCCTAAAACAGTACAGTGCGGACTTTCCTCCATCTCATCCGTTCTGCTTTTTCAGTCACTCCTGAAACTTTGCTGCATGTACAGGGTATGTGGCTGTTGGTCCTATTAGCAGCACGTAAAACAAAACTTTTATTCAAATTCTAACTTGATTATAGCCTAGAAAGCAAACAAATAGCGCTTCCATATAATCACTAAAAAGCTGTCACTCATTTCAATTTATCGCAATCTCAAGATGTTCATTTATAATCAGTGAAGCTCTCTGAACTGCAAATAAAATCTTATTTACATCGTGTCTACGTGTGGCGTTTAGCACCGAGTGAATTCTGACTGTCTCACGCTGAATGCGTGAGAGGTGGTAGCCCAATCTATTAATATCTTAATATATTATTATATCTTATATTCACCATTTGCACACACAAGCATTATCCGGCTCCGCTCCTCCCGACCGCAGATGCAGGTTTACAAGCCACTTTTTCCTGTGTTTTTCAATCAATTTCTTGACTTTTCCCCCCTTATGAACAACACATTTTCGTACACGATAAAAGCTCCTTGTGCTTTCTCGTTTTGGCCGATTTTAGCATTAATAAACAACGCAAAACACAGGCATTTTGAGTTTCTGCTAGTGATTCCTATGGAGAAAAATCACTTCCTGCCCTCCAGCTGCATTTCGCGCGTCATCAGTGACGTCATGTGCAAACCTATTGTAACTCCTTGTATATTGGACTACCCCAATCCTCCATGTCATGGCTTCAAATGGTTCAAAATGCCGCAGCCAGATTTTTAACAAGGGTTCGTAAACGTGAACACATTACTCTGATTTTAATGTCTCTTAACTGGTTGCCAGTGCATTATAGAGTTGAATTTAAAATGTTGCTGTTTGATTTTATGTCCTTAAAGGGGACATATGATGCTATTTTAAAGATCATTATTTTGTGTATTTGGTGTAACAGAATATGTTTACATGCTTTAATGTTCAAAAAACACATTATTTTTCAAATACTGTACATTATTGTAGGTCCTCTATGCCCCGTCTCTCTCAAACACGTAGTTTTCAACAAAGCCCCCTCCTTTGACAAGCACAGTCTGCTCTGATTGGCCAGCTGAACCAGTGCATTGTGATTGGCCGAACACAGCATAATTCTTGGTCTCATTTTAACTTATGTTTTAGTGTATTATTTTTATTATTATTCTTTTTATTTTACCTTTCCTCTTTTGTACAGCACAGTGGTCAACTCTTGTTGTGTTTATTTGTGCTTTTATAAGTAAGTAAATGTTAAATGTTGATGTCTGTTATGCTTTACCAAGAGCAAGTTTTAGGGCTGGGCAATATTTCGATATAGAACGCTTATACAGGTGATCCTCCTGATTTATATCTAGCTATAATGTAGTTGTAGTGTTGTTTAGCAAATATATATTAGAGATAGAATAACTATATTGTGTTGTTATTCCTTACTGTGGTTGAAAATTACCTTTTTTGTGATAAAGATTTTGCTCATATCGTCCACCTCTAAGTAGTTTAAAGGTTCCATTAGGGATATGCCGGTATCAAATTTTTATGTTGCGATTAATTGCTAATGCTTTTATCACGGTATGCGGTATTATCACGATATTGAAATTTAGTTTTTTTTTAAAAGTGCTGTCAAAAAAAATAAAAAAAGGTTAATAAACATTTTTCTTATAACAAAAATAAAACCGTAGTGCACGTGACGTCACACACTCTATAACAAGCAAGTGTAATAATAGTAACAGTTGCAAATTGTTTTATTTAGACTATAAGTCTATGCTAATTCACAAATTACCTCAAATGCCATACACGGCCTTTGATCCTTTAGATTGGCAGGTTTGAGCGCAGGAAAATACAGTGCAGAATACAGAAACCAAATACTACATCACCAATCTGGAATCATTTCCATTCATGTCACCCATCCGCATTTGTACAAGTGTCTTCAAGTTCACGTGATCGCAAACGCTCGGCTGGTCAGGTTTGTATTTACTGCATTCGAATATAAGACGACCCATTATTAAATTATTGGTGTTTTTAAAAATGAATTGGTAATGAGTGTTAGATCATCGCAAAATTAATCTAAATGTAAATATAGCTGAAGTAACCATGCACAGTTAAAGGTATAGTATACACCAAAATGAAAATTCTATTTATTACTCGCCCTTATGTTGTGTATGATTGCATTACACTTAATTTTCTTCTGTGAAACAATTTATTTTTTATTATTATATTTTTTTGTTTTTGTTTTTGTTTTTGAAGTCAGTGGTAATATTCTTCCAAATATCTGCTTTTATGTTTCACAGAAGAATTCAGTCATATAGGTTTGGAACAACATAAGGATAAGTACATGATGATAGGTTTTAAAGTTTTTGAGTGGACTATTCTATTATGTATCTAATAACAGCCACTATATATCAAGTATCAACCAATACAGTAAGTTACAAAATCTGTAATATCACCTGAATAACGGATATGGTACAGATATATCATACATATCTATAAGGGATTTTTTTTTTTAAAACCTCTCATCATAGTTGTTAACCTCGTCCTGCACTGTTTGTACTATAGACACGAATGATACCTCAAATTGTCTGGCTTTTCTTTTCGGTTGATGAACATTAAAGCAGGCAAAAATATCCAATTGGCTTACAATGAAATACTATTTTGACTTGCACCAATAAGCATCCAATCACATTTTCTTTGAAAATGTCTTGCCTCTTGATGCAGTAATTGCATTCCAAAATGCACATTAGCGTGTTAATGTTATCTAAAAAACAATGCCTCATCAAATAGACTAGAAGATCAGGTAGTAATGAATATTAATGGAGCTAATGGAGCGGGACCACTTCTGCAAACACGCTTCATCTATTAGCACGCTATTCCAGCAGCATCCTTCGTGCTGTGAGTTGCATTCTGTCAAGCCCTCGGGGACACGTCTGTCTGTCTCTCATACCCACTACACAGTCACACACGCTCCGTTTCCCATTAAAGTCACACAACACGCAAACATGCAACCCCTGTCCGCCGTCAGCCTGGGCCGCAGGCTTCTTCTCTGAATGTGAGGGTTTGTTTTATGCCCCATCGGTTGCTTAAATTGCTCTCTCCCGGATGGCCGCTGAATCAATAGCAGCCCCCTTTATCAGCTCATGTGAACTGGAGTGTAACTTCACAAATAATGCTGGCTGATTGCTTGTGAGCTGCCAATCAATTGTTTGAGCTCGCCTCTCACGCCGAGGACGGAGAAGGTTGGAAGCTGGAGTCTAGTCCTAATGGTTAATGTGTTTTCGGGAGGTTTCACCTGCTGCTTTAGAGTTGCACACAAATTCAGATGCATTTGGCACATCAGTTTACCTGTAATTTCTAAGCTCAACGCACTGAAATTGATTTGAATGATTGTGGGTGACGTCAAAGATTAAGCGATAAACTTTTTGCACATACTTAGGCAGTGATCCATACTGCACTTCTATGAAAACAAGG